TAATCTCCAGAGTGTTATCCTGTCTCGATCTCGAACCACAGACGGTTTACATCCCTTGACTCATTCGTGCACAGACTTTATACTGCATCTAAGTGGGCCCAGCCCTTACTGACCTCGTCTGTAAAGATACCATAACACTCAGGGAAAAAATATCAATGAGGAATAAAAAAAAATTTACCAATAAAAAATTTCTTCAAAATAGTTTTGTGTGTCCAAAAAAAAGGGAAAAAGGGGGCAGATAATTGGCCTAGTGATTAAGTCCCTGGTTAGCACACTCGCGTCCCAGGGTCAATATCCAGGCCCGGCTCTGGACTTCAGCTTCCCGGAGGCAGCAGGAATGGGTTCAGGTGGTTGGGTTTCTGCCCTGCACCTGGGAATGGGAGACCTGGACTGATTTCTCGGCTCCCAGCTTCGGCCTTGCTCCCAGCAGATGAGAACCTTCTCTGTCTCTGTCTTTCAAATAAATACATAAAATTTTTCACAAATCCATACACTACAGTGAGGTGTTTTTGTTCTGTCAGCCAGTTTGCTCCCGATAGGTTTCCGGTGCGCCCGGCTGCGGCCTCACGTTGGCCCAGGTCAGCTGAGCAGGGCCTGCAGGAGCCAGAGCGCCAGGGCTGCTCGCCTGACCACGGCAGCCTGGTCCACGCATCTCGACATAACGTACGTTCCCATCGTCCGCGTGCACCGTGAGGTGAAGAGCGCTGGGCACCACTCACATCTGACAACCAGATGCCACGAAACAGCCACCGCAATGGGGGAAACACCTCTTCCAACACTGTATGGGCCCCAAATCCGTTCCCACACACACATCGCTTTATTCTCAGCAGAACCAGGCGCCGTCAGCGACATGGTTCCGTCTATTACCAAGGTTCAGGATGGGTGAGTCACCCGCTCACTCCCACTGCCGGGAAGTGCCAGAGCCTGGACCTGCGGATCCAGCATTTTACACCCAATCCCTGGGCTGTTACTGGCCCGCTCCCTGCAAGATGACACTCCAACTACACAGGACGTTCGAAACAGAATTTTGACTTCAATCTCTGAAGAAGGTTCAAATGGCCTGCCTTTGTTTTCTCTTGTGACTGCCAGGCAAACGCTCGCTGTGGCCTATGGAAACTGATCTTCTCTTTGAACTTAGCAGGACCAAGAAAGCATAACACTCATCGACATATTCAGGCCGCACTAATTTTCTCTGCACAGCTCCAACACCTAGAGAGCCAACCCCTGTCATCTGGTGTGAGTAGGGAAGGGTCTTTGTCCACCACTCCAGAAATCCTCCCCAAAAGTTTATGTCAAAAAGAGATTAAAATAAAATAATAAGCTGCCATCGACCATGCTGAAGTTCTTGTTTTGCTTTGCCAATCACAGTTCCTTATGCTGCTTCCATACCAGGAAAGAATAAAGGGGAATGAAAAAAACTGTGGAAGGAACTTACATGACGAACAGAGGAAATGAAATATGAATTTTAAACACAGGGCACTAGCAAGAGACCTTATTGAAATAATAGAGTTTATGTTAGTAACTCCTGTTTCAGAAAGCTGGAAGACCAATCAATTTTAAGGGCTAAAAACAACAGTTCAAATTCTTTATCACAATGTGAAGCAAAGACATTGTACGTACGGAACAGGGAAGTTTGGGAAACAGCAACAAGCAACCAGCAGAGACAGGTTAATCGGAGAGCAGTTCTCTGTTCAGAAAGGGACACGGGGGGATGGCTGAGCGTGACACCATCCACACAACGTGATCAGAGGACCCAACACACGCCGGGCGGGCCTGTGGCAGATGAAGAGGCCTGGGCTCCACACCCAGGACGCCCAGGTCCAACCCCTGGCCCCTCCAGGAGCAGCCGGGTGAGACAGCACTGCCGAAGAAGCAGAGAGAGAAGAAGCTGCGTCCCTGGTCCCACCGGCATGAAGGAGAGAAGTCTCCGATGGAGCCATGGCTTATCTTCCATGATTCTCAAAGTTTTATCAACCGTAAGACATCCACAAGGCACAAAATAGATCCCGTCGCTGGGCAACAAGAAAGCCCAGCCCAGCCCTGGAGGAGCACAGGACAGCACCGGGGCGAGGGCCCGGCCAGCCCCGTACAGGACAGCACTGGGGCAAGGGCCCGGCCAGCCCAGCCCAGCCCAGCACAGGACAGCACCAGGGCGAGGCCCCCGGCTAGGCCCAGCCCAGTCCCTGGAGGTGCACAGGACAGCATCGGGGCGAGGGCCCGGCCAGCCCAGCCCAGCCCAGCACAGGACAGGACAGCACCAGGGCGAGGGCCCACCCAGCCCAGCCCAGTCCCTGGAGGAGCACAGGACAGCACCAGCGCAAGGTCCCAGCCAGCCCAGCCCAGCCCAGCACAGGACAGCACCAGGGCAAGGGCCCGGCCAGCCCAGCACAGGACAGCACCGGGGTGAGGTCCCGGCCAGCCCAGCACAGCACAGCACCGTGACAAGGCCCCCAGCCAGCCCAGCACAGCACAGCACAGGACAGCACCAGGGCGAGGGCCCACCCAGCCCAGCCCAGTCCCTAGAGATGCACAGGACAGCACCGTGGTGAGATCCCACCCAGCCCAGCCCAGCCCAGGACAGCACCGGGGCGAGGGCCCACCCAGCCCAGCCCAGTCCCTGGAGGTGCACAGGACAGCACCGGGGTGAGGCCCGGCCAGCCCAGCCCAGCCCCGTGCCAGGACATGACAAGCTCCTGGGACGTCACTCAGCTCCTGCAGCGCCTGCTGAGACCCTCCCCCCCATCATTCGATGCTGATGGTTTTCATCCTGAGATGCCCATCAAACGTTCTCCTCCCAGGCCACGACATCCCAGAGAACGGCCTACGGAGTAGGTGTCTGCCGCGGAAAAGTCTCTCGTCGAGGATAACGTCACTTCGGGGTCTACGGCGGCTGGGGTGTGTGTGTGTGTGTGTGTGTGTGTCAGTGTGTCCAGTAATGAGTTCCCTTATGTCAGATTTAAGTAACACATCCTCTCCACCCTCATTAAACCGTGCATCTAAAGTTAATCTAGGCAGGAATGTATACTTAGTACTTTACAATGTCTCTGAAGTTTAAAAATATACTAGGATTTCCATAAATTCTTTTTTTTTTCAACCTCCGAGCTTAAAAAATTTTCCCACTACAAACAAGAACGCATGGAAGTCTTCTGAAAGCAAGAAAATGCAATATCCTGAGAAACCATAAACAAACTAATAAAAACGCAGCACCAGGCAGCGAGCACCTTGAGCGAATATTGAACGCATCTCGTACAGCCCGACTCCCGTTCCGGAAATCACAGCCGCACACAGTCCGCAGGAAAGCTCCCGCGACACCCCCGCTGAAACACAGCGTCCCTGTCTCTCCACACTGCGCGTCTTAACAACTTGCAGCGGAACGCTCCAAGAGTCGGGGTTCACTCTGAAACACAGCTCCGTTGTAAGCACTGTGTAAACCCCCATCCGTGTTTCCACCGACCTTCACTGGCAGCCACGCAAACACACGCCATCACACGCAGGGCTGCACTCAATGCCGTGGGCACAAGCTCTTCCCCAGCAGATCCGAAGCTGGCAAACGGGTCCCAGGCTGAGCAGGGACCGCTTCCTTTCTGTGAGACGGCACTCATCGGGCACCGTTTCCCATCACCACCACTGGGAACGTCGGAAGTGGGGCGTGAGTAACAGGTGCGCGGGGCTCTGCCGCGGCCAGCTCCCTGGCCTCGTCGGGGAGTGGCGGATCCCGCCCCAGAGGCCCAGCAGGGCAGGGAAACAGCTGGGTCGGCGTCTGCTCAGCTGAGCTTCCTTCACACAGGCCTACGCCCACCCTGGTGCACACACTCACAGCACGCACACTTGCCGTCCTCAGAGCATCTACGCCTAGCAGAGACTCGACCCACACCAAAGGAAGTCAGCTCTACCCAAAATACGAATGACACCGAATTCAGTACAAAACCACACACACGCCTCCACGAGGTAGGCCACCGTTCTTACAGCAAGCACAGCCAGGTTTTCTGGTATTTTACTATGAGCACAGCCTGCTTTGCCCGGATGTCCAGGGACTATTCGGGACGGTACCAGTTCAAACTGAAAACAAACTATGAGAAACCAAAATGTGAAGCTACTCCGGAGAATGCACATGTCCAGGCCATTACACACCTTAAAGGGAGAGTTTCCAAGTTTAAAATGGCCATCTCAACAGAATGCATCAGTGGAAATCCTACACAAAAGCTGCATCATATTGTTTTAACCAAGTTTCAGCCCAAGAAATAAGAATTCTGACAAGCAGTTATGAAGGAGGAAACCTCCTCACCTCAAAGGGCAAAGAAGACATGGCACTGGACATGCCTGCTCCCGTGTCAGGCACGCTGGCACCCGGCCGGCCCACACCCAGCTGGGACACCTCTCCCGTGTCAGGCACGCTGGCACCCGGCTGGCAGGTCCACACCCAGCTGGGATACCTCTCCCGTATCAGGTGCACTGGTACCCAGCAGGTCCAAACCCAGCTGGGACACCTCTCCCGTGTCAGGTGTGCTGGCACCCAGCCAGCCCACACTCAGCTGGGACACCTCTCCCGTGTCAGGAACACTGGCACCCCGGCCAGCCCACACCCAGCTGGGACACCTGCTCCCATGTCAGGTACACTGGCACCTGGCAGGTCCACACCCAGCTGGGACACCTCTCCCGTGTCAGGTGTGCTGGCACCCGGCAGGTCCACACCCAGCGGGGACACCTCTCCCATGTCAGGCACACTGGCACCCGGCAGGTCCACACCCAGCTGGCACCCAGCTGGGACACCTGCTCCCGTGTCAGGCACGCTGGCACCCGGCCGGCCCACACCCAGCTGGGACACCTGCTCCCGTGTCAGGCACGCTGGCACCCGGCCGGCCCACACCCAGCTGGGACACCTGCTCCCACGTCAGGTGCACTGGCACCCGGCTGGCCCACACCCAGCTGGGACCCAGCTGGGACACCTCTCTCGTGTCAGGCCCACACCCAGCTGGGACACCCGGCCGGCCCACACTCACCTGTGATTTTCTGCAGTAGAGGTGACAGCTCGGGCTCCTGGCAGAAGGCCTGGGCCAGGGCACCCTTCACGAGCTCCTCCGCCTCGTCCAGCTCTCGGTCCGCGGGGCACTCTCCAGTGACGGAGTAGATGTAGACAAGCAGGACCAGCAGCTCCTCGGGGCTGTAGTCGTCCTGGGTCCTCTGGGAGGCCGGCTTCACCAGGGGCAGCAGCTGCCCCAGCACCGTGCCCATCGCCGACTCCCCAATGCTCTGAAACGAAAAGTGGCGGCGGGAAACAGGTCAGTCTCGTGCCAGGCCGGGGTGTGAGCGCGTCGCTAGCGCACAGGCAGCCTGCATGCACTTGTGTGCCGCCCGTCCCGGAGACAGCACCGCAGGGAGGCTGGGGCTGGCGCGTGGCTGTGAAAGACCCGGTGCACAAAACGCCCATCACGTGCAGTCCCTGTCACGTCAGTGTAGCGCCGTCCCCACCTATCTGACAAATAAACACTTGTGATACTACGCATTTTAAATAAAAATAGCAGATCGGTAAAGCGATATGGTTTTAAAACAAACATGGAGGCACCTTCAAAGGGAACTTCAAAAACTTTGTGGGAAATGAAATTAAAAGATAAGCTGCTTTTGGTGAAAAACGTGAAATCTGGGGTGGGCGCTGTGCGCAGTGGGTTAATCCTCCACCTACAGTGCCAGCATCCCATATGGGCGCCGGTTCGAGTCCTGGCTGCTCTGATCCAGCTCTCTGCTATGGCCTGGGAAAGCAGTAGAAAATGGCCCAAATCCTTGGGCCCCTGCACCCACGTCGGAGACCTGGAAGGAGCTCCTGGCTCCTGGCTTTGGATCAGCACAGCTCCGGCCACTGTGACTAGGGAGTGAACCAGTGGATGGAAGACCTACCTCTCTCTCTCTCTCTCTCTCTGCCTCTGCCTCTGCCTCTGCCTCTGCCTCTCGGTAACTTTGCCTTTCAGATAAATACATACATACATACATACATCTTAAAAGTAAAATCCATGCACAGTTTTTTCATGACACATTCTCCCATTTTCCATGATCTTTTTGAAGATCCACATTGGCATGGATTTCAAATGTCTCTGCACCCAAATAAGCGTCTCCCCCAACTCTATTCTCGCGACCTCAGAAGTGCCCTGCGCGCCAGGCGAGGGCGAGCCCTCGGAGCGGTCACTGCAGCGTTGGAGGCTCGGGCTCAGCGCCCCCCACACTGAAACAGAAAGTCACCTCCTGCCGAATGCAGAGTAGAAATGTGGGCTAAGCTCGGTCATGTAGCTGAACGCACCTTAAAATCTAAAACACTTTCAGAGTGGGGCTTGACAGAGAATCTTAGGATTCCTTACGAGTGAGCACTACACTGCACTGCAGGACAGCTGGATAAGCTGCGAGGAGCCACACACATTCCAGCCTGCGTTCTGAGACCGTGGAGAGTAGATACATCCACCTTCAGTCACGGGATTCGGCTTCAGCTAAAACGTAAGACAGCCCCACGAAATAAAACCCCACAGTTCTTACTTAAATTCACATCAGGGGCCACCCTCTCCCGACTCGCGACTTACATTATTCTTCCGTAGGTGTTCATCGAACACCAGCTACGTTCCGGGCACGGCTGCAGGCCTAGGGATGCAGCAGCGAGTGAAACAGCGCCCCTGCTCTCTCAGAGGATGTGTGTGCATGGGTGTGCATGTGTGTGCATGTGTGAGAGCGTGTGTACATGTGTGTGTGCATGTGTGACAGCGTGTGTGTACATGTGTGAGAGCGTGTGTGCATGTGTGTGCATGTGTGAGAGTGTGTGTGTGCATGTGTGTGTGCATGTGTGACAGCATTGTGTACATGTGTCTGAACGTGTGTGTGTGCATGCGTCTGTGCTGGTGTGCATGTGTGAGAGCATGTGTGTGTGCAGGTATGTGTCTGAGCATGTGTGTGTGCATGCATCTGCGTTGGTGTGCATGTGTGTGTATGCGTCTACATTGATGTGCATGTGTGACAGCATGTATATGCATGTGTGACAGCGTGCGTCTGCATGTGTGAGAGTGTGCATGTGTGTGTGCATGCGTCTGCATTGGTGTGTATGTGTGAGAGCGTGTGTGTGCATGTGTGCATGTATGTGCGTGTCTGCATGTGTGTGTGCATGTGTCTGAGCATGTGTGTGCATGTGTCTGAGCATGTGTGTGTGCATGTGTCTGAGCATGTGTGTGTGCATGTGTGAGAGCATGTGTGTGCATGTGTGAGAGCGTGTGTGTGCATGTGTGAGAGCATGGTGTGCATGCATGTGTGCATGTATGTGCATGTGTGCACAGAGGCACTATCTTACCTAGCAGAGACATACATAGCAGGGAATACTGGAATACAGGCCGAGCTGAAGAAGCTCTGGCCACAAACAGCTGGATGTTGTCTGTCCCAGGGTGACTACCCAAAATGTGCTATTCTAGTCATGTCTACACCTGGGAGAAGCTGGGGGTGTCATCTCAGGGTTAAGGGTCACAGCTACAATTCAAATACAAAAACCAGCCGTTACTGTTGATTTCCACTGCAACTCTTGGATGTTCACGATGCACCACACACAATAAAACGCGATGTCCTTGGGGCAGATGAGGTCCAACTGGCAAAGGACACACAGAGGTCTCTGCTACAGGTGGCAGGACGGATATACCCGCTACAGACACACACACGCCTCAAAGGGAACCAGGGGTCGAAGGGCCCGACGGCGCCCCAGGCTGCCCCATGGCTTCGGAAGTCTCTGGAGGGGGCCCCTCTGGTGTCCTTTCGTGACTTCCCAAGCTGCCAAAAGTGATTTAAAGCAAACCAGCTGAGTGCCGGCCTGCTGAGGGCGGGCCAGGGAGGCCGCCCCTGCGTGCTGCTCTTCCCTCTGTCACCAGCTCCTGGGCTGACAGGAAGCAGACTCCTCCGTTGCTTTATATCCCATCGCTGAGCAGGTGCACACGTGAAGTAGCCACGCTGCAGGAAGCCTGCGCCTCCCTGCATTTCCCAGACGACAGCTAGATCGAGGAGACACGGCGGGGTAACCACCCGGTCACCTGTGAGCACGCTCACCAGCGCAGCCTTCGGGCCGCTGGCCTGTGACTCGTGCTGAGGGACAGGGGTCTCCCTGCTGTACCTCCTGTAGACGTCTGCGGAACACACCGACTCCCACGATCACATCCTCGCCCAGCTCACGGCCACCCCAAGGTGTCAGCAGTTGAGCGGACACACGCCCACAAGACCACAAGCCTCACAGGCACACGAGACAGGTTGGAAATGGATTCCACTCCAAAAGCCAGAGTCCAGCCTTGGCGGCCCCGCTAACCAGCTCCCTGCTCTCAGCAGCTCCTCCTCTGGCTGTGCAGTGCGCCCACAGTGCCCAGGTCCCCTTTCACCCTCCACCCCACGGCCCCTGCTTTCCTTTAGCACCTGGGGTGGAGGGCAGCACTGCCCACTCCTACCACCGGCTACTCAGCAAATCACAGTGCTCAACAAAGCAAAGCTCCACTGTCGGTACGGACAGACGGACCAGATCCAAGTGCAGGCACGCATGCCACACGGCTGACACACACGTGTGCATTTCCCAACTCTGTGAACCGGGAGGATCTGGAAGGAGTAACACCCCTGCATCGAAGTGAACACGCAGGGCACAGATCTGAGTTGCTAACATTTTCCAGGCAAAGGAGCCAGGGGGCCCTGGAGAAGGGATGGATTTGAGGGACGGGGCAAGGAAAACTCAAGATGGGCTGAAAGATCGTGGGGTGCCAGAACAGGAAGGAAGTGCTCAGAAAATGAGAGAACGGGGACGTGTCCCAGGGACACGGGAGCCAAAGGAAAGCCCTGCCAGGGACCAGAGCTGGAACAGGCTGACCAGCAAGACGGAACAAGCAGGACCTGAAATAACCCAAGCTACAACAAGCGTCCGTTAGTCCCTGTCGTGTGAGGGGGTGACTGAATTAATGAATGGACGTGTGAGGGGAGGGGCAGACCCTCCTCCCAGGGTCCCAGCCACCTCCCAGGGTAATTCTCCCAGCTGCAGGGAGCGAGTACTGCAGAGGACCAGAGCCCAGTGTGCACAGCGGCGAGCCCACCGACACCGGGCGTCCCGAGGGTGACAAGATGACAGCGACTCTCCCCTTCCTTCCTTTCTTCTTCTTCTTCTTTTTTTTTTTTTTAAGATTTATTTATTTATTTTAAAGAGTTACAGAGAGAGAGAAGGAAAGGCAGAAAGAGAGAGAGAGGTCCTCCATCCACTGGTTCACTCCATAATTGGCTGCAACAGCTGGAGCTGGGCCGATCCAAAGCCAGGAGCCAGGAGCCTCCCCTGGGTCCCCCATGTGGGTGCAGGGGCCCAAGGACTTGGGTCATCTTCCACTGCTTTCCCAGGCCATAGCAGATAAGTGGAGCAGCCAGGACTTGAACTGGTGCCCATATGGGCTGCTGGCACTGCAGGCGGCGGCTTCACCCACTCACCACAGCGCCAGCCCCTCTTCCCTTTCTATTGCTCTTTCCTAAAATCCACAAAGGAACCACATAACAAATCCCAGGAACAGACCCTCCACGAGATGCCCGACGAGCGCTACTGGAAACCATCAAGGTCAGGAAGAAGGAGGGAAGACGGAGAAACTGTCACACAGGAGGCGGGATGCAGGAAACAGGTATCCTGGCCGGGGCTCGGAGATGAAGTGGGACAGAGTTTGGGGCTACCAGTAACGGGCCTCGCTGGTCTCATAGCTGTAACCCACGTCCCACAGTCACACGAGATTCGGACAAGGAGCCCTGCACCTGCAGGGCAACCATGCCATACTTAGGTAAAAGGCCAGGGAAGGGGAGGAGGGAGACGGGGCCGAAGGCAGGAAGCAGGCTAACAAGAGACAAATCTGTGGCGAGCCCCGCAGAGACCACTTGAACTCTGCACGAGGAAGAACACCTCCCAAGCACAGCCACCTGCAAGGTCTGGGACTGGCCCAGGAAGCAGGGACTTCCCACCTTGGGCCAAGGGCGGCAGGGAGCTGACCCAGCCAGGACGAAGCCAAAGGAGCCGGGGCCGTGGGGCCTGGCAGGGGAGCCCACCACACGGGGGCTCCTGGCTGATGCAAGCCTCTTTCCTCAGGTCTTCTCGCCTCTTGGAAGGGGGCCTGCACAGGAAGGAAGCAGCAGACCAGAGACTCCCTAGGGACAAAAGAAAGACCCCTGGGGAGAGGGAGGGTCTGGGCCTGGGGCCTGGCTGCACTGCGTGGCCAGGTAGGACCATGGGCAAAGTG